CTGTCTGCACACTTGGGACAGTCAGACCCCGTCTCTTATCCTGAACCCAGCATACAGACCACCGATCTGCAGAATAAAACCCACCATCAAAACGGTGCAGGCATGGACTGAGGAAGCCACCTCAGTGTTGCAGGACTGTTTTGAAAACACAGATTGGGGTTTGTTTGCTGAGGATGTGAATTTGGATGAATATGCTAGCTCTGTGGATTATATTAATTTCTGCACAGAAAATGTCACAACACAAAAGACAATAGAAGTGTATACTAACCAGAAGCCATGGTTCAGTGCTAATGTGAGAGCACTACTGCAGGAGAGGGATGCAACCTTAAGTTCAGGGGATAAGCAGGCCTACATTGGAGCAAGGGGTGATCTCTGCAGAGCCATCAGGGACACAAAGCGTGAATACAAACAGCGCATTGAGGAACACTTCAAGACGAACAACTGTCATATCATTATAATATATCATATCATTATAATATATATGCATTTATGTGTTATACATATATACACACACACACACACACGCACACATATATATACACATACAAATGTNAACGTTATAGGGAATTGCCTTGTTGTTTATCAATACTTAAGGGTAGAAAACCAGCAGAGCTTTTAGCTACATATATATACATGTGTATATATGTATATGTGTGTGTGTGTATATAAGAAAGTTTCCTGAATATTGCTGCTTTAGATGGGCAAAACAAAAGTCAGAAAGGATAGCAGAGGAGATACCCACACACCAATGTATTTTTGGTTATTTTACATCTAGTCTATTTATGTAGGACATCTGTCCAAAAGTGCAAAAAAAAAAAATAAAGGATAAAGAGTGAGTAAACAAAAAAACAGACGCAGACTTTTCAGTCAAAACAAAAATCACCCATCATCAGCCATCATCATCTTTTTCTTGGACATGAAATTTACCTGTTACAAAGCAACACAACTAACTTGTAAATCCACCTAAAAAACACCACAATCTGCAGTCCAGTGAATGTATGAAGGCTAAGAAGAAGTGTGTTGCTAATGTTATGGTACTTTTAATCCCTGTCCTTGTCCAGCATCAACTCAGACATTTATAACAGTGTTGCTGCAGAGCGTCATGGTACTATTACCACAGTAATAAAATAGAATCTGTCGGCAGCTCTGTGTGAAAGACGACCGGGGGGGGGGGGTGCAGGTGTCCCCAGGAAATGTGTACCTACAGAAGCAGCAAGCTCCGGATGTCTGAGCTACAACATGATTGAGCTAACTGGAGTAGTTTCATATCTTACCCGACAATGGGAGGCTTTTAACAGATGAAGTCCTGATGTTAGCTTTGCTGCTGCTGTTAGCTGTCCCTTTCAGCTGCAGCCACTGATGCTTTCTAGACATCATGATTTCCCATAACTGAATAAATACCACACATAGCAACACAAAATTGCTTTGCTAGCTCAGTCATGTTGTAACTAAGATATTCGCAAAATATTTTGTTCATGGACCGTTTATTGAGTTATTACCTTATTTTTATAGTCTATGGTTATAGACAACGCTAACGGCTAACGTTAACAGCTAACGGTTAGCCCAGCTAATCTACGATAACCATATTAATTACGTGCACACAGAAATAGTAACGTTTGTTCAGTCATTGTGTTTACAGACTTAACAAACATCAGATTAGTCTACACGGTGATATAGTGACGTGAAAAATGTGATATATAGCTAAACTCTGCTGGTTTTTTACCCGAAGTATTTGTAAACAACACGGCGATTCCCTGGGGGCACCGCCGGAAGTGAAGGGTGTGAGGCCCCTGCACTTCCGGTTAGTCGAAAAACTCCGGGCTGTGCCTCCAGAGGTAAAGGAAGAAAAAAAATATATATATATTTTTTTTTACTGATGGATTTCCAGATTGGGGAGATATGAACAGAAATTCATATCTTGGTATTTTCAGGCTGAATGGCGATACACAATATATATCCCGGTATTTTCTAAGAAGTGGGCTACATGTTCAGTTGCAAGCTGATCCACGGCTGAATTCCCCTGTTATTTTTGCTGCATGTGTTTTTCCACAGCAGGGCAAATAGAAGTTTACCTGTTGGAGGTGAGTTGTTTGCAGAGGTGCAGTAAGAGCCTGTTGTCTGCAGCTCTTCATCAACATCTCACTGTGGCAGTTTCTGCTTTTACTCTTCCTCCCTGCCTTATTATTACACTTATATAAATTGAAGAAAAGCCTCTAATCAAGTTTTGCTAATTTGGTAATAAACATATTTTAATTTACATATAGTCTTGAAAATAAAAGTCCCCCGTATTTTGTTAGCCTATGTAAAAACGTTTATTGTGAAGTAGCAAAATAAGGAAATGTTGAGTTTTCGAGCAGAAACTTCACGCCTTCATTACATTAAACAGTAAAAATAAAGCAGATATGTAAAGTAAAAACAGGACGCAGGAGAGAAACTGCAAACCACAGAGATTCCCTTAGAAGCTACAAAAGTACTGAACACAGAGACTTTTAAAATGCCTTTCTCTCTGGTCTCCTGCAGACAGAGGTGAGTAGAGTCTCACATAACACGGCTTATTTAAGGGGGAGAAACTGGGTCCACTGTGGTCGGCGAGACACCACGGCTGCCTGCTTGAGTGTGGGCGGCCCGGGTTTTGGACCTACTCCAGAGAAGCAGTAGGTGTGCAGCTCGGTGTGGCACCGGACGTCTAAACTGATAACGGAAACACAAATCGGCACAACATGGCTTGACTGGACACAGCTAAAAGTTACAGAGGACAAGGCCCACAGTACTGTACGTATGCTATTTCGGTAACTTCATTCATCCCACAGACTGATTTAGCGTAGCCCCTGCAACATACAGGCCGATGTCACACCATAGACTAATGAACAGACAGATTAAACAGAGTAGCAGCTCTGTGTCTCTGAGTGTTGATGGAGGACTGTTGAGTGAGTGAGGGAGTGGGGCAGAGCTGTGCAGAGTGTGAGAGAGAAGAGATGAACACTGGTATGCATTATGTGACGCAACTTGACCCTATATCGATATTGATGGTATTGTCTAAATCTATATCTTGCTTCAAAATACATTGCTATATATTGTAAGAAATTGATATACTGCCCAGCCTTAAAGTTACAATGTGTAATTTACTTGGTTGTTTATTAGCAAATATCAGCTATTGCTTTCATAAATATATATTTACTAAAGTGTAATGCAATTCACATACAAATGGAAGCTTTCTCATAAGCTTAAAATGATATCTATATATATACACAGGCAGGGAGCGGTCTGCTGGAGGCTGCCATCTTGAGTCGCCATATTTGAATACAGTGGCCGAAAGGGATATACGCGCTTCACCTTTTGCGTTTACCTAGAACTTGCCATCACTGGAGACAGTTAAGGTGAAGCTCAATCCCGGGCGCTTCTGCGTGAACCTGCTTTGTACTTTTATGATTCTGTCGCACTTTAAATGGAGGACCACACATATGTTTTGCCCCGTAAGAGAGAAACCACGCCACCAAATAAAAGAAAAAGATCAGATAAGCGAGGACGGGACAAAACGCGAGTGAATATCGGCGTTGCTTATTCCAGGTGGAAAAAACTCCTGAAGGAGAAGGATTTCACAAGGGATGTGGAGGTTGCCTGCTTTCTGCTAGACAGGCAATTCAATCTGATATTTTAAAATCATTTTGGCTTCATGTTTGCAACTACTTTTCCCTCTCGTCTAAGTTCGAGTGACGGCTACGTTTACGTGGTAACGTTATCCTAGCCTTGGCCAACGGCATCCCAGAGCTACAGCTAAATGGTTAGCCTAGCCTACAGCCTAATCTGTTGATTCCTTTCGCGCTGCTGTGAAGGCTGTCACCCTCTCCTCCTCCTCTTCCCTCTGGGTGGCTGAGACACACCTCTTCGCCTGGCCGTTCCTGCACCGCTTCTACCCTCACGCCCCCTTCCTCTCCCTTGTCTTCCTCCTCTCCCTCTCCCTCATCCTCTCCCTCTCCCTCTTCCTCATCTCCCTGTGTCCTGTGGAAGAACACTCTGGAAACGCATATATTATAATCCTACCAACCTATATTTACCGCACTGTGCCATGACTATCACATAAAACGTGTTATTTTAGCATTACTGTGCTAATGCTCATGTTACCAAAACAATTAGAAATAAAACACTCCTAACATATATCTCACAGATAACCTATATCTCACTGGTAAGCTATAACATATCGTAACATGGTTTAGATTCCTAAATAAATATTCACCTTGTCGCTAGATACTCCTGAAAAACTCGAAAAACTCTGCTGTCTGCGCAAGGCTTTTTGTCCTACGATGCCACCATCACTTACCCGACAGGAGGGGTGCGCGAGTGAGCGCTGCAATCTAGAATTTGACCGCTGATGTCACTGTTACTCACCATTTTTACACACTGAGGCTTTAAGAAGAACCTTATTTTAAGTCTATCTTTGATGCAAAGCTTTGTTAATTAGCAGGAATGTAGCACAATGTGAAAGTGAGAGCAGTGCTCTGTTGATTAAATTCTGGGTAAAAACGTTTGGTATAAATTTATTTATATTCTGTTTCTGGGACAAACAGTGTGAGTAAAGACCAGTCTCATTTTGATGCAGATATTTGAACATTAGCAGGAATGTAGCAGAACATGGAAGTGAAAGAAGTGCTGTTTATTTAAATTTGAAAGCACAATTAAAATATTTTGTCCCAAAAAACAAAAAATAATCATGATAAATAATCATGATCTCAATATTGATTGAAGTAATTATGATGATCATTTTGGCCATTGTTGTATAGGCCAAACAAACTGCGCTGTGGTACTCCCTTATATACTGTGGGGTTTGGACAGATTAGAGAAGGCACATCCTGATTTGCTGGCTACACTTATGCAAATTTTAGTGGGTGAATGTGTGCTTGTGATTGGAGGAGAGTATTATCCCTAGAGGCCAGTAGAGGGCAGACCCTGTGTGAGATAGAGCATGCATTTTTCCTTCTGTTGATGGAGTGCTTTTTTCTCAGGTATTTATCCTGCAGCTGGAGGGACAGAAACATTGGCGTCTCTATAGTCCTACTGTTCCGCTGGCAGCAGAGTACAGCGTGGAGTCAGAGGAGAGGATTGGCAGCCCAACCCATGATATCGTACTGAAGGTACAGCACCCAAAATATACTGTGTACATACACTGACCGATAAATTCAACTAGGGATACACGCTAATATCGACGCGTCATCTGTATCGATATTAGCCTTATAAGGAAATATCCTTATTGGCCAACATGCCGACTTCTGTCAATAGAGAAACTGTTTTATTTTTTTAACTGTCAAAGTGAATATGTACAAAAAATCTGACAAATGACACAGCACAGGTAACAGAACAACATATCTCAAAGATAAACAAGTATGTACGAAGAATATAAATGACAAAAATTAAAACAGATAAACGGAGGATAAAATAAATATGTGTAAAAGGGGATTTATGGTTGTGTGTAGACCCTACGCACGTAGTCAAGCACGTCGCCTACGGTATTGTGAGCATTTTTACTTGTGCGGTGGTGTCTGTGTCACTGCAGTTACACCTCTAAAACACTAGTCGGTGGCGGAGGTTCCTGGGAAGTGCTGTAAAGTTTAGTGAAGTCAAAACACACATTAAATATGGCTTAATAGAGAAAATTTCAAACACAAGTACATAAATTGGCTTCACTTATAACTCGCAGCATTCACAGACAAACACTTGTGTTAATCTGGACAGATTTTCCCCACAAATACAACATGCTAACGTTATTAGCACAAGTCTATGGCATTTTACATTGTATAAATTAGCCTAGCAACTAGCGGTCTTTTCCTCTTCTCATATAAAACCAGGGACAACAGTGACATTTAACAACGGCACACAATTTGGCTCCATTACAACTCACAAAGTTCACTGACAAAACAACTGTATGGTACTAAACACATTTCCGAACAAATACAACATGCTAACGTTATTAGTGCCAGCCTATGGCATTTTACATTGTATAAATTAGCCTAGCGATGAGTAGAGATTTCGTCTTCTCATATGAAACCTGGATAAATCCCGAAGTATAAATCCCTAAAGGATAAATCACACACAAGACTTCAAATGCTATTTTAGTGGAGGCTTTACTGTCTTAACAATTTATTGGTTCTTATCTGTGAAATAAAAGTAAATAGAAGCTTCGTTTCCACTGAGGGAAATAGTGCCAGTATACAGAATCACACAGGACGTTTGTGTCACTGCGACGTGTAGGACTTACAATGTAGTACGAAATACTGATACTGCTGTGTAAAGATAATATTCAGAATCATCGTAATGTAATCAGATACCCCAAAAAGTTTGTCATTTCAGTGTATTAACAATGAAACTATGAATAAAACATACTGAACGTACTGTGTCTATAGACACACAAATGGTCACATTAAAGGCACTATGTGTAACAATTTCAGTTGTTCTTTGAGACAAACAAATTTTGCAGTCAAAAGTGTGTCCTTGCACATGTGTATTTACCTCTATCAGCGTATCTAAGTATGTCCGTAAGCTCCGAAATTCTCATTTACATATACATTGCGACTGGTGTTTCATCATGTAAGTGTGCCATCTTGAAAACACAGGTACGTACAGGGACATACTTGAGAAATATGGAATCGCCTTTCGTGTTTTCACTTGTCGGTTTCCAGTTTCCTCCTGCAGGTAGAGTGACGAAAAGCAACAGCAAGCAGGCTAGTCACAAGTGCCGGTGCATTTGAAAAAAGGCAAAAAGGCAACGTGACCGGCGATTTCAAAAAACGAGGGTCAACATCGGGGTAGCCTTTCCCAGGTGGAGAGATCTGCTGAAGTAGTATCACAGCTAACAGCGCTGCTAACAGCTGTTAGCCGCTGTTAGCGCTGTTAGTGTTGTTAGCGGTTAGCGGCGCTGTTGCGAGGAGAGGGACGAGGTGTGTGAGGTTGGGCCACTTGTCAGTTGTCAAAAGACAAGACTTGATTGGTTTGTTTTGATTTACACCCGCCCCAGCAGTCCTACATTGTAAACACAGCCAGCATGGTGAGGAGGGGGTTTGTCGCTTGTGTCTGTGTAGGAGCCTGAATGAATACTCCATGAAGTATTGGATGACATGGTTTCATCATTGTTATCATAGCTTTTTGGTACACAGCAGCGACCGTTGTTGTAATACGTGTTTGAAACAGTGAGGCGCTAGAGTGCGCTATCCGTTTGAATGCAATATACGATCTCAACACTAGATGGGAGAAATTCCTACACAGTGCCCGTTTAAAGATGGCGGATGATGCACGGCGTGGTGAGGCTGCTCTTGTGTTTGGTTGGTCTCGCTTACAACCTGACATTTATAAAACTGTCGATGGCAAGGTTATTGTTGAGGATGAATTGCTAAACTTTCTCGCAGTAAAAATTAAGACTCTAAGCCAGGACAAAATAGTTTTATTGGCTACAACCAATTTTGACTCCGAGTGGATTGAATCCTTGAAAAAAGTTTTGTTTGAACTCTGCCCAACGTCGCAGCGGTATGTGTCACATAAAGGGCAACAGAGAGATGCCAACAACATAAAAAGCTGTCTCAAAGTGTTGAATGAGTGCTGGGAGAATATTCCCAGATTTGTTTCGCATTATCTAGATGAACTGCCCCCGGTGTCCTTTTCTAACATGGACATTTCGAGTCTGCTTGGGAGAATTTAGAAAATGCACGTTGAACTCTGCTCTTTGAAGAAAACAATGCAGCTACAGGCTGACATAAATGAAGAGCTCCGTGCTATCACTATGGATGTGAACTGCAGAGTAAGCGTACTGGAGCGACCCGCTGAGCTGGCTGTGGACGGAGGTTCGGCTAGGCCAAGCACAGGTGTGGCTGTGGAGGTGGCTAACCTGGCTGGTGCAGCGACAGAGCCGGAGTCCACTGCGCGGGGAGCCTCGGGACCGTGCACAGGAGGGAGGGCCACGACGCCGAGAGCTCCAGAGCAGGGAGAGATGTCTGTGTCGGGTCGGAAGGCCATGGATGCGGAAGGGCCTGTGGTGGGCCGCTCTCCGGGTGGATTGCTGTCTGTGTCTCGCTCTCCAGAGTGGACCAAGGTGGTTAGAGAGCTCAAAGGCCGACGTCTGCAGGAGCCGTGGAGGGCTGCGGTTCAGTTGGGATCATCAGCTGCTGCCTCAGGGCGGAAAAGGAGACACAACGCGGTGCCTGTTGTGGGGACTGGAATCATGACTGGCATCAAAACTCTAAAGTCTAAGCTGGTGAGTGCCTTCGCCTCTAGGTTCTCACCAGACCTTGACTCTGAAACTTTATCTATGTACCTCAAAGAAAAACCTGGCCGACAGGTCCGCTGCCAAAAGATTGCTCTTGAACACAGTACATCCACATCTTTGAAAGTATCTGCTGAGTGCAACAAAGTTGGTGAAATGTGCACTCCGGAGCTCTGGCCAGAGGGGGCACTTGTCCGGTGGTTCTATGAGCCGCGCAGGGCTGGAGTTGTCGGCGCAAATACAGCATTGACTGCGATGGTAAGAAAGGTGCCTGCTGGTGCAGTGGGTATTCACCTATCAACATAAGTGACTATGCGTATTGTCTCGTACAACTGTCGTGGCCTGCATATGGGCCAGTGCGCAGGGGATAAAGCTCACCGCATGGTTGTAGACAATTTGTTAGACACTTGTGATATACTATGTTTGCAAGAGACTTCTTCAGCAAAACAGGACTTGGAGAAATTAAACTGTCTTAATGATAACTTCCACGGGGCAGGGGAATCCACTACTGATCTCTCCATGGGGTTAGTTAGAGGGAGAATACCTGGGGGTGTTGCCATTCTCTGGAACCAGAAGCTGGACTCATTGATAAATGTGATAAGGCTTGGTGTGGATTGGTGTATTGCAATACACTTTGTCCATGATGATAAGGAATTTATGGTTCTAAATGTGTATACACCCTAGAGCTGTACGATTAATCATAATAAAATTGTGATCTCGATTCATATGCATATGCAGTCTAATTTTTCAATGACGGCGATTCTGCCGGCCCCGCCCGTGCCGGGAGTCGCGACATTATCTGCATGAAAACAAGCGCTCCCAACAACGCAGCGTTATACCACGTGATGCAGAGCGACAGCCGGCCGGCATATTGGAAAGCAACGAGACGGGGGAAACACACTGCTAACTGTAGCCTCAGTTTGTGCCTCATACACATCTGCTGGTAAAGTTAAATTAGCGTTAGCAAGCATGATAAAAGACGGCAGAGAGGCGACATTGTGCAAATAAACCAAAGATTTATTCATTTTCTGTAGCAGTAAACACATGGGCCGAAAAAAAATGTGTTAACTAACTATGCTAAAGCTTTACAAGCTATTCAGGGCTGCAGACGATAACATTAACATGACAAACAGCAAGGCTACGGCTAGTTAATGTACTGACACACACACACACACGACAGCCTCTCAGTCCTTAGCCGCTAACGTTAGCTCATGTACAACACAGGTACCACACAAAAACTTTTACAAAGGGTCATAATGTGCTTCTAGTGACTGTCAAATCGCCAGCGAAAGATGTTTACACTGCGGACACGGAGAACAGCTGCCTGCTCTCATGGGACAAAGATCCTCTGAGAAGAAAGATGGATCACTCTGCTCTGCCGCCAGGAACAAAGTGGGAGGCCAAGATCCTCCCTGAGGAAGAGGGCTCATTAAAGAACATACAAGATCCTGCAGAGAATTAATACATATAATACAAAACAGTAAACACTGTCAAATTAAATGAAGGAAGAGGATTTTTTTTAAAGGCAAATAAAATATTGAGGATTTATGTAAAAATATACATAGAGACATACAAATAATTATATAATTAAAGATATGTAGGCTATGTTAGGTGAATACTCTTGTCAAATGCATGGAGTTGAAACATTTAATTTTGACTTAATTCCAGGCCTGGAATACCTACCTCAGAAAAATGTTGTTCAACATTGATATTATTGTTAAACTTGTTCAAAAGCTGTAAGAGAAGACAAGAGACTAAAGTTTATTGTTTTAATGGTCAGTGTCAGGCTGTCAGCTGTTGCATTTAAGCTAAAAACAGAAGTGTTCCCTCTCTGCTGACCAGAGTTTATGTGCCTTCTGTCTCTTGTATCAGGCACAATCATAG